ACAGTCAACATGTGCTCTGTACCATCTCTGTAGCGACCCGACCTCAAACGGTCAAGCCTCTGTGTATCCGTGCCATCCCTGGATCGGTATGTTGGCACACACAGTACATCAATGTATATATCAAAGTGCAATCACATGTATAAATAACATAAAACTGATATATACCTCATAAGTCTCAGCGGAAACAAACACAAGGGTGTGGAGTCCATCAACGCCAACGGCAGGTTGAGTTTAGACCATAACCCTACAACGTAACTCTTATTCGTCGTAGAAAAGTCCCCACAACATAAGACATTGCAGCCCTGTAGGTCAGTACATTGAATGTACTGGCAAGTCACATCATAAGAATAATGAACCTATTTGTACATGCAGTCTGGCTGGTGGAAAGCTCTAAGTTTAGTTTTTGCATAAAGCTAGTTTCCCCCTAGAATAAAAGATATTATTCTATCACTACTGTATAGCATAGGATGAGTTGGAAACCCCAACTAAATCCATTCCCAAAGTTTCATTTAAAACCCAATTGCTTAATTAAGAGTGATGAGATCTCCCAGCATTTCCACTACTAGATGCTCAAGTTGTCCGTAACCGGGGACACGGCCAATCGATTAGGTTTTAACACTCTGCAGAGGTTTGCGCACTTTTCCCCACAAGACTCGATCGCCTCCCTTGAAGTTCTCGCACTGCCTGGCGTTTGAGAATAGGATGACCGAGACATAGTCTTTCGAAAATGTTCCCCCCTTAACCCACGGATAGGCCGGTACACCTACATCATTCTACATCTGCTAGCCCATCCCGGAAGGGGTCACACTAACTACTCAACTAAGCCAGAGCCCATATTGGCTTGTGGCTGCACACGTAAGCTTCTAGACATGAGAATACGATTGATCTCTTTGAGCCTGGGCGGACGGACCACTAGTGGTGCACCACCATGGATTTCCCATGCATGCTCCCACTGTACTTCGCCACCATTCAAACCAAACCTCCGCCCAGGTAGTTCATTAAGTTATCTTGGTTCTACTTACTACTTTGTCACTCATCTCTCACAATGAACACTTCCCAATCCACGTCTACATTGGCGAGGCAAAATTAAACTTACGCGGTGGTGACAAAGGTATATGGTTCAAACCTACCTTAGTGAACTACTAGGTAACGGCATAGCCATCTGGCAACAATAAATCCTACCATGCAATCCTACCACAAAAGGACTAAGTGCATAATATAAAAACATAGGTAATTGGAAGAATGGTCAAATGTGAACTTGCCTTGGTAATAGTTGATGAAGATTATATCACTCTCAGAAATTTACTTAATAGAACTATCCGTCACTCTCCGATAAAAATCTATAAAGTCAAACATTGCATTCACGTAAGCAATCATTTCAGAGAACCAAATAACATGCAACATGAAAAGACTCGGAAAATCCAAATGAACACACAACACACTTAACTATCAAAAGTAAATACTAAGTGCAAAACAACATAGGGCATGGGTGCCAAAAATTGTGACGTGGACCATAGTGCCTACTAGCATACGAGTAAAACTACTATGGACAGATCCTAATGTGTGAAAAATATCGTGAGATAGGTCCAAGTGATAGGGTTTGGCAACGGTGACACGGTGCAAAAAGAATCACATCAATCAGAGCTACGGTTTAGGAGATATGGCCAGTTGAAGCTTGAATTCAAATCTGAATAAATTCAAATTTGAAATTGGCCAAAAGTTTTCAAAGTTGCTTCTCTGGATAAAGCTATTCGAGACGAACATTTTGCCGCTGGTTTCGTCGAATTTGGAGTTACGGTTAGAAAGATACAACCATTCGAAGTTTAGGGGCTAAATTGAAATTTACAGGGACTTGAATATGAAAGTTTTATTCGCGACCAGGTCCCTGGCCACGTGGCGGCTTCCGGGTGGCTTAGCAGCATTCGCTGCAGAAGCTATTCGGCGAACGGTCGTAACTTAAGCAAAACAGCGGCGACGGCTAGAAAAAAAAATTAAACCGGAGATCGGTTTGACTAAACTGAACGGTTTACTAAAGCCCGCGATTAACCGATCTAATTCAAATATAAAAAAACTAAACTAAGTGAACGGGGCAGTGGCTCACGGTGGCGACGATGACGAACAGGGACGGCGGCGCTGGCGTTGGCCACTGATGGGGCGGCGACTCCGGCGGTCCTCAGCGGCGGCAAAGGGGTCGGGGAGACCGGGCGCGGCGTGGGCGGCGCGCTGGTGGGGTCGGCGGGCGGTGGGGCGGCCAGCGACGAGCGGAGGGAGGCGAAGGCGTCCGGAGCTCCGGTGAGGACGCAGGTCGTCGGGGTGGCGTCTCCGGCGACCTAGGGACAGGAGGAGGATGTCAACGAGATGCGCTTCGACTCGGGCAACATATTGAAGAAGAAGACGGAGGCCGGGGTGGCTCACAGGCGACGAAATCCTCCGGTGAACTAGCACGGCTCCGGCGAGATCCAAGCGGCAACTGCGGCGGCTGCGGGGAGCTAGGGACGACATGGAGTGGCAGAATGGAGAGAGGAGGACGAGGGGCTTTTATAGGCGCGGGGAGGGGCTGCGGAGTCGCAAGGATAAGCTCATCCGCGAGGGCTTCGCCCGGCGGTTTCGGCGTGCGGGCGCGACTTCCTGATCCCATGCAGGGCGAGCGGGAGGTTAGGGACGATGGGGCAGGGCCCCATGCATCAGCGGCACTGCTTGCGAAGGGAGCAGAGGCGGGCGAGCGGGCGAAGAGGAGCGCAGGCGAGCGAGGCGTAAGGCCTCGGGCGGCCTCGGGCGCTGCTGGGCCAGCTCGGTGCGCTGGCTGGCTCTTGGGCCGAAGGCCATGGGCCGGCTGGCGGGCGCGTGTGTGTGTTTTTTTGTTTTTTTTCAGAAAGGAGACTCCAACAGAAGTAAATTAAATAAAAAAATATACATAGGCATATCATATACCAAAATGTTCAGAAAAATACCCCGAATAAGATGAACTATTTTTCAAATTCAACTAAATTCCAAAAAAAATCATAAAAGTCAAACGGTGCTACTGTTGCTTTTAAAATCAATGAAAATCATTTTTAAAATAGCAAAATGATTTCAAATTTATTTTCTCCTAATTTTCCATTGAAGGGAATCATTTTACCCTTATTTCCATTCATTTATCTTTAGGAGAAAAATAATTTGAATTAAAACTAGATAACTTCCAAGAGGATTTTGAATTTCAAATTTCAAACAACTTCAAAAGGAAAATGAGTTCCAAATAACTTCAAAGTGACTCCCAAATTATTTATTTGAAACTCCCAACTCTCTTTATTCAATTTTGAAGAAGTCATTTTATGAACTCATTGAGTTGCTTAAAGTTTCTAAATTTGAAATATTTCAAAAAGGAAATTCAAATCATTTTCAAACCCCTTTTCATTTCTTTAAATGGAAGAAGTCATATCATCTTCACTCTAGGGTTTTGTGATGAAATAAATTTGAATTCAGGAAGATCAAAAATGCAAGATGAAAGTTTTGGGAAAGTCCTTTTATTCCCTCTCATTCAACTTTCAAAAAGTTTCAATTTCCACTCAGTTTCACACAATCAATCACACAAAAATCAAATAAACAATCACAATTATTTATTTAATATAACATTCCAAAATTTAGAATTTTGGGATGTTACAAATTAACTCCTCGTCCCATTGGCCATCAGCAGGGTTTATCAAATCATTCACCATTGTAAGCATAATATTACCTCTTGGAGTCAAAATTCTCCTATCCGGGCTAGATGGGACCCATGGATCAATCCATATGTTAACTTTCTCCCCTGGTCCAATGCGCCAAATGTACCCACATTTGAAAGTAGCAATTCCCGCAACAATGCTTTGCCATGTAAAAGAAGAGCCCTTCTTTGGACCGGCTTGGAGGATATCAATATTTGGGAAATACTTCTTCTTAAGGATCCCGTCACAAATAGAATCTGGATATATAATTAATCTCTAGCATTGTTTGGCAAGGAGTGCTAAGTTGAAAGAATAAAGGTCTTTGAACCCTATTCCACCATCAGACTTCGGGGCACAAAGCTTCCACCAAGAAAACCAATGTAATTTTTTATTCTCCTCCTTATCTCCCCACCAAAACCGTGCAATCGCATCTGTGATATCTTTGCATACTCCCTTTGGCAGACAAAAAACAGACATAGCAAATACAGGTATGGCTGAGCAACAACCTTTAACAAGACTTCCTTCCCTCATGTAGAAAGTTGTTTTTCCATCCAACCTTTCAATAGTTTTTAATCTTCTCACAAAAGTGCTTAAAACAATCACTTCTATCTGCTCCAACCATAGCCGACAGGCCCAAGTATTTATCTGAAAGTGCTTGAGTGGTGATGTGTACCTCACAAATTTCATCTCTAGCTTGATCATTAGTATTTGGGCTAAAGAAAACACTGGATTTACCCAAACCTACAAATTGTCCTGAATTTTCACAATAGATATCCAACACATGCTATAAGGAAGTTGCATTTAACATGTCTACTTTCATGAGAATCAGAGAATCGTCAGCAAATAAAAGATGTGAGACTGATGGTGCATTCCTGCACACTCTTATCCCATCGATGCCACCAACTTCTTTTTCATCTGCACAAATCAGGAAAAAAATGATAATGGGTCACCTTGCCGAATTCCCGTTGATGGTGTAAACATGTTAGTCTCTTGTGAATTGAAGCGCACTCTGTATTTGACTGAGCTAACACAAGCCATGAGTTAGTTGCTGCCTAGATGTTCCAAAAAGCCCCTGTATGATTTTTTTTGAGAAAAAAAGCCCATGTATGTGATCACACGTATTTTGCCATCAAGGCCCTTGGCACCAAGAGGCCCGTAAAGCCCAAAGCCCATCCTAACCGACATCGAGAAGCCTCTCCCGGCGGCCCCGCCTCCTCCTCACCTCCGCTGGTTCCACACACATCCATCGCAAATTGCCCACCTCTGTTCCCCCCAAATCGAATCCCCAACCCCGACCTAATCGGCGATCCGTCCGTCGCCATGTCTCGCACCGGGAGCCGCCTCGCGTCCGCCGTGGTGCGCCTCCCCGGTCGCTCCCGGGTCTCCGCCTCGCCCTCCCCTCGCCGCCGCTCCCTGTCCCCGTCGCCCTCCCCGCGCCGCCAGCGCCGCCGCGACCGGTCCCCCATCCCCTCCCGCGACCGCCGCGGCGAGAGGTCCCCCGTCCCGTCCCGCGACCGCCGCCGCGACCGATCCCCTAGCCCCTACCGCGACCGCCGCCGCGACCGGTCCCCTAGTCCCTTCCGTGACCGCCGCCGCCAGTGGTCGCCCTACCACAATGAGCGCGGTCGGGACATGGACCGGGTTCGGGACGTGGAGCCCCCGGCGCGCCGTGGCGGCGGTGGGGGAGGCGAATGGTCCGCCTCCGATGACGACGACGAGGATCTCAAGGGCCTCACCTACTTCGAGTACCGCCGCGTCAAGCGCCAGAAGCTCCGCAAAAGCCTGAAGAAGTGCATCTGGAAAGTCACGCCCAGCCCTCCTCGCCGTGACGACGAGGCCGACGAGTACCAGTACAGTGAGGAGGAGGAGGAGAAGGACAAGAAGGAATCGCCCAAGAAGGAGTCATCTGAGAAGAGCGATGAGGAGGAGAACAAGGATTCGTCGGAATCTGAGTCCGATGAGTCTGGTAGCTTATCTGATTCCAGTGAATCAGATTATTCTAGGAAGAAAAAGAAAGGGCGTAAGGGCAGACGTTCTAGCAGCAAGCGCAACAAGCCTGCCCATCGTCGCCACAGGAAGTCTGATATGGAGAGTGAGAGTGATAGCAAGGTCGATGAGGATTCAGAGGGTTCCGATGACTCTGAAGATTCTAGGGATAAGAGGAGGAGCAAGAGATCGCGGAGGCACAAGAAGTCTAAGAGGAGGGGACGGAGCTCTAGGAGGAAGACGAGTAAGAGTCTGGATGTACCATCTGATGTTAGCTCCGAGGAGGTGGAGGTGTTAGTCTCTAGCCCTATCTCAACGGACAGCAAGAAAATGGGCAAGAGCTCAAGGAAGAAGAGTAGCAGTCAGTCTGATTCTGAAGATTCGATCCCTTCTGATGCCATCATTGATGAAAAGGAAATTGAAGAGACAGATGAGCCTGAGATTGACCCAGAGGCAATTAAGTTCAAGGAAATGCTTGAGGCCCAGAAGAAGGCTGCACTGGAGAATGAGATGCCGGTTGGACCGATGCCACTCCCGCGTGCTGATGGTCATATTAGCTATGGTGGTGCACTCAGACCTGGTGAAGGTGATGCCATTGCACAGTATGTACAGCAGGGGAAGCGTATCCCACGGCGTGGTGAGGTTGGTCTGTCTGCAGATGAGATTCAGAAGTTCGAAGATTTGGGGTATGTGATGAGTGGAAGCAGGCACCAGAGGATGAATGCTATCCGTATAAGAAAGGAAAACCAGGTTTATAGTGCAGAGGATAAGAGAGCACTGGCCATGTTTAACTACGAGGAGAAGTCAAAGAGAGAGCACAAGGTTATGGCTGATTTGCAGCGCTTGGTTTCAAGAACCATTGGCCAAGAGACAGGACCTTCACATGATCCATTTGCTGCTACAGATGACTGAGTAATTATTTCTAGCTATTTTACAAAGAAATGGTTGCCACTAATAGTTATGCATGTTTTTCCTGTAGTACTAGTGATGTCGAGTTTGCATTTGTAACTTCTGTTTTGTGTCGACTGTACTTAGCTTATGCTTATCAGATATTACTCTTTTGTTCTATATGTGGTCATGATTGTTGTCATGTTTGTCAAGCTGCTTGGTTTACCACACTATGATTTGTATAGGATTTATTTTCCAACGATAAGATAGAATGGCCATTTTTTTCCTTTTTGTATTTTTGAATGTGAAAGACAGTACAGTTATTGTTTAGGATCAGAATTGTTATAGCATGCAAGGGGTGCTTGGGTACTGCGGGTCTTCTTTGGCACTTACGGATTTCAAATAAATCTTCACTATCCGAAACCGAATTTTGTTAACATCTACTCCCTCCGTTCCAAAATAGATGACTCAACTTTGTACTAACTTTAGTACAAAGTTGAGTCATCTATTTTGGAACGGAGGGAGTATAATGAATTTTGTTTGTCCTAAGTTCATAGATATATGCATTTACTCATTTTACGGAAATTATTTAGTTTTAGATTGACTGGATAGCTTGGGTCCTTGTTTTGCTGAATTTTACGTGGGCTTTAGTCATTATTTTGATACACCTATGAGCAGCAATAGTTTTATCCATTAATTCATGGTTATGGCAATCACCCGTTAAGAACTGCCCTCCCATGATCTGTTCTCTTGTGAGTAAGATAAAACTGCCCTCCCATAATCTGTTCTCTTGTGAGTAAGATAAAATGAATGTATTAGGGTGATGAACTGATGCGTGAGAGCATTTGCCAATGTACTGCCGGCATATGGCTATATTTGGGATGTTAGATGTCATTATTAACTCTACATTGTAAACTGTCCCTTTGACTTCACTGGATATTTGATTCATAATAGCAATATTCATCTAGCTTTAAGTTGGCAATCTCAAATTAGAATACTGTAAACCGGATGTAGCACACTGTTTTTGTACATAACTTTCAAAGGCCGCTTAAGAACTTATTTATAAACAGGCTAGCTTGCTTAAGAACTCATCTATGGACCGTACTTGCATTCGTCCCGTATAACTGTAAATTAACCAAAAATGTTCTTCTTGGCCTTTCAGTCAGCCACTTCATGGCTGTCGTCGATTGATGCTTTGTCGATCAATTATGTATACCATTTCCAACTACGTACAATCACCATTGCTCTGATGACTGCAGCACTTCATTCTGGAAATGGTTGAAACAGTATAAATAATATCTGCTTTCCATTGTAGACATTATGGAAAATCAAAATTCCTTCTAAAACCAAGGTGTTCATATTGTTAGCTACTAGTGGAAGTCTTATCCTAACAAAGGGTGTCTTAGCAGGGGCTATATGGTGCCTTTCAGCCTGGTGGATGCCAGGATGGTTGTAGGTGGTAGTTGTATCTTGCTGGATTAAGGGCATGTTTGGTTTGTAGCCTAAGGTTGCCACACCTTAACCTTAGTCATGTCACAACATCTTAGCCTCTTAGGCTTATGTTTGGTTCATCACTTGTGGCTTGCCACACATTTCTAGCTATGTGGTCCACATGTCATAGGCTCAGTTTTTTGCGAAATCTTGGCACGCTTGTGGTGACCATTTTGTTCACCACACTTTTTGTGGCGGCCAGAATTTGACTAATGTTAGTTGTGGCAAAGTTACTCATGAGCCAAACATGCCCTAAAACTGAAGTGTTGTGGCATTCCATGAAGTGTTTTGGCTGGCTCTCTTATGTAATGCTGCCGTGGTCTCTTTTGAATATGCTCTGCAATGATGATTGATGCCCCCTTTGGGTGTTGAGAAGTTGATCTACTTGTTTGCGCCAGTGTGTGTGTGTGTGTGTGTGTGTGTGTGTGTGACCAAAGGCTCTGTTTCCACCTGATTACTGGAGAGCTCTAGTGCTATGCTGTCGTTGCATCTCCATTCTGATTTCGGCCAGCAGCTTATTCTGTGCTTTGCAAGATTGCTTACAAGCTTGAACGTACATAGAAGTTGTATATACTCCCTCCGTCTGAAAATAGTTGTCATCAAGATGGATAAAAAAAGATGTATCTAAAACTGATGGATAAAAGGAGATGTATTTAAAACTAAAATACGTCTACTAAAACATGTCTAGATGCATCTCCTTTTATCCATTTTGATGATAAGTATTTCCGGATGGAGGGAGTATATTACTCCTACTTGGACATGCAGGGTTGTGCATAGAAGTTGTGTATACCCAGGGACAAGCTTTAACGTGCATACACAACACCGTGATCATTGTCATGTGATTTTGCTAACTTTTCTACTGAAGTTCGTTGGTGCATAGTACAACTTATTTTTTCTGTGGAACTACCACAAAATGCAAGGTTTAATACCAAAAAGTAAGTTATACAAAGGAAGTGAAAGCAACAACAGGATCACACACTGAAAATGCAAAGCACCTCCTACTGAACTCACATATAGGAAAACTATCAGCGTTGCACAGGGGCACGTACCAACGCAGGCAGGATACAGTGTAAAAAGGCAAACAAAGCCTCATCAGCATCTTGTGATCCTCCTTGTGGTCAGCTCTCATCCATGCTTGTGGGCAAAAAATGTCTCGAATCACCTACTGCAATATTTGCCCAAGAGTTGATATAATTACACATCGTAAAAGCAACACTAGCAGGATCAGTAGGAAATTGACGTCGAAACAAAGCATCAGCTTGCATTGCTTTACTCCGTTTCAAAAAAAAAAAAGCTTGTATTGCTTTACTGAAAACGAAGAGATCCAACCCCCAATCACACCCTCTGTATCAGTAGGAGTTTTTCGGAGGTTCAAAGCACGCAATACTACCTGCCTCAAAGCAAAATCGACATTGTTCATTTCCTGTCCATCCTTTTCTAGTCAAGTTATAATTTGTCAGGATGCTATTCTTCAGGAGCAATCAGAGGGAAATCATGAATTTAGACGCGCTTTTATTTTCCACTGTCACTGCCCCGAGTCGGAAATACAAGTTTCCATCTCATATAACTTGATTAAAAGATACTGAGTGAAGTCAGAATCACTTCACATTTATTTTTCGGAAAACCACTTCACATTTGAGAGCCCAGCTATTAATAGCCGGCGATGAAACCAACCACTCGTTCCATGAGCGCAACCGCCTCGCGGCAGCAGCCATGCTCGTCGACGAAGAAGGCGTGCCCCTTGCCTTCCGACTGGAACCACTCCACTTGCCCGCGCCACCCGCTGGACTTCACGGCGTCGTAGTACGCCCGTATCCTCGGCAGCCTCGCGTCCTCCGACGCCGCGCTCACCAGCATCCTCTCGCACGGCAGCGTCCGCAGGCTCGGCGCGCCGTCGGCCGTCGGGTTCATCCTCGGGTCGTCCAGCCCGCCCCTCGCGCCGGGGAAGATCACGGAGCACCGCATCTTGACGCTCTCCCTGTACTCCTCTGACTCCGTCTCGATCCTCCGCTCGCCGCTGAACGAAGGGTGGAGCAAGACCGCCCCCTCCAGGCGCGTCGCCGCGGCGAAGAGGCCGCTCGCGCCGGCGGCGATGGCCATGTTGTGGGCTATGTTCCCGCCGGCGCTGGCGCCGGCCACGAAGACGCGGCCGAGGTCGCCGTGCTCGGACAGCCACGGGTCGGCGCCGGACACCGCCCAGTTGAGCGCGGCCCAGGAGTCGTCGTAGGCCGCCGGGAGCAGGTGCTCGGGCGCGAGGCGGTAGTCGACGGAGACGACGATGGCGCGGGCGTCGGCGGCCAGCGAGTTCACGTAGCGGTGGTACCTAGGGCAGCCGGCTGATCCGACGATGAAGAAACCGCCGTGGAAGAAGACGACGATCGGGAGCTTCGTGACCGCGGCGGTACTGATATCGGCGCCGTCGGATTCAGCGGCATGGACGTCTGGCAGGTAGAGGCGAACGGCGACGCCGGTGACGGCGTCGATCACGACGTCTCTGGAGGTGACGCCGGTGTCGGCGTCGAAGCCGGCGGGCACATCGTCCGCGCCTACGAGACGGTCGATGTGGCCGTCCTTGTATAGTCGGAAGCAGCTGTTTTCAACGAGGACCTCCGTGCTCCCGGAATCCATTGTCCAGCGCCAGCCAAGCTAGGATTCGATCGGCGGAGGCCGTGAGGTGACCGGCGGTGTGGTAGAGGTGGAGTAGCAGGACACGTTGATGCCCAGAGGATCCGTGTTATCCTATGCTTATGCGTATGTGTGCCCTTGTATTTGTGGTGACGCCTTGAGGACAAAGTACAGCTCAAATCATTGTCAGTTAGCTACTGTGCTCGTTTTTTGTTACACGCAAGCGCTCTGGTCACGTCACGCTCGTACTCTACATCCCCCCAACTATTCAGACAGCAAATGTGATCGAAAATATACTTCCTTTGCGAACGTTCGCTGAGAGGGCTAAGGCCGCGCTTGGATTGTCGTTTTCCAGCGGTTTACACGCGGGAAAAATACGCCCGTAACAAAAAACCAGGGATCTGCTTGCAATGACGTTTTTCGATCGTAAACTTTACGCCTGAATTCACGTCACGCTTGTAATCCGCCGGTAATCCGGCCGTTTCCAGAACACCGCTTGGTCTGTTGTTTTTCCTCGTATCCACAGCAGACGCAAGCTCCATAGCGGCTCGATAGGAACACGCCGAGGCCGCCACCGACGCCTAGCGTCCGGCTCCACCACCATGGATGCACACCGCCGAGCTTCGGGCCGCCGCCGCCGGAGCATAAAGTGTCGTACATGGAAAGGAGATGCACGACATGGTGGCGGCTGGCCTTCCCCTCCTTGGAGTACATGGAGTCTGTCGATACGTTTTACGAGTGAATCTTGCAAAGCATGATGTTGCCGCCTCCGGTCTCCGGCGAGATGCCACGCTCACCCATGATCCACCCTTTGATTCTGCCTAATTTGAGTACTAGGCTGTAGCCACAGGCTGTAGCCTAGTGGCAAGGGTGGGCGATGGCTCATCCGGCGACCAGGGGTTCGAACACCGTCAGTGTCGAATTTTCCAATGCCTCATCCTAGGTGGGCTTCATTTATAAAACTATGTCTTGGATGCTGGTGTTTATGGATCTCATTTTTTGATTGTGCCTAATTTCATGCCAGCACTGCTGCAAGCCAGATGCCAAATTTTAATACTATTGTTACACCCCAGCCCCTGCCAGATGCCAAATTTCAATACCATTGTTACACCCCAGCCCCTGCTGCTATATATACTGGACTAATTGTTAGAGCTCACGCAAGTCAATTAAATTACCGGATATTTTCGTTTCTTGGTAACGATTTCAATGTTCTTGAGAATATGATGTTGCTTAAATCGGATACATTTGTTTTACAAATGAAGGGCTTAGCTTGGACAAAAAAGATGAACCTTGGAGTAAGTTCAAGCATGGAGATGATGGCATGCGCAAGGGGAACAAGAATGGAGTTTCAAGTGATGATTTCAGGACTTTGAAGCCACCATAATAAGCGCATGAAGACTTGAACGAAATATATAAGATGTCACTTCCTAAATTTCGTCCAGAGGCTATTATAGGTGTTGCGTCGCTTTATTATTGGGCTTCATTTATAAAACTATGTCTTGGATGCTGGTGTTTATGGATCTCATTTTTTGATTGTGCCTAATTTCATGCCAGCACTGCTGCAAGCCAGATGCCAAATTTTAATACTATTGTTACACCCCAGCCCCTGCCAGATGCCAAATTTCAATACCATTGTTACACCCCAGCCCCTGCTGCTATATATACTGGACTAATTGTTAGAGCTCACGCAAGTCAATTAAATTACCGGATATTTTCGTTTCTTGGTAACGATTTCAATGTTCTTGAGAATATGATGTTGCTTAAATCGGATACATTTGTTTTACAAATGAAGGGCTTAGCTTGGACAAAAAAGATGAACCTTGGAGTAAGTTCAAGCATGGAGATGATGGCATGCGCAAGGGGAACAAGAATGGAGTTTCAAGTGATGATTTCAGGACTTTGAAGCCACCATAATAAGCGCATGAAGACTTGAACGAAATATATAAGATGTCACTTCCTAAATTTCGTCCAGAGGCTATTATAGGTGTTGCGTCGCTTTATTATTGGGCTGGGCCCATGTAATTTCGAAATACTTGAGTATAAACTGCTTTTAGAGTCCGTATGTGTGGAGAAACAAGAGTTAGGGTTAGTTTCGGACCCCTTCTCCAAGGGCCATGAAATTTCCCCCTCTCCCTTCATATATACAGCCCTTATGGCGCCATTTAGACTTTAGATTTTGTTTATATTAAAAGTTTGACATACTTGCAATTTCGCGTACTTCGTTTGTGTTTAACGACCAAACCAAATCGTCACAGAACCCCACTTTTGTCAATAAAGTTTTTCTCTTATATTCGCAATATCTAGATTGCAATCTCAGTTTCTTGCTTGTTATTCGTTTGCTCGCAGGAAATAGACCCTCGTGGTCAGGTTGATCGTGCTCCGGCGTGGTCAATAACCCCTCGGAACTTGGTTTAGCGATTGCTAAGGCGCGACGTCTTCGCACGTTCATAGTCGGATCGTCAAAGTCGACTCCCACAGAAAACGATAGCTATCTCATCGAAATATCGAGACACCTTCGTCTTTATCAAGTAGTATCAGATTTTTAGGTTGTTCGATGAGATTTTCTAGTTTTTCATAGTTTAGATCAAGTCTGTTCTTCATACCTATATGAAGGAAATATGCCCTAGAGGCAATAATAAAGTTATTATTCATTTCCTTATTTCATGATAAATGTTTATTATTCATGCTAGAATTGTATTATCCGGAAACATAATATTTGTGTGAATACATAGACAAACTAAACGTCACTAGTATGCCTCTACTTGACTAGCTCATTAATCAAAGATGGTTATGTTTCCTAACCATAGACATGTGTTGTCATTTGATTAACGGGATCACATTATTAGGAGAATGATGTGATTGACATGACCCATTCCATTAGCTTAGCACCCGATCGTTTAGTATGTTGCTATTGCTTTCTTCATGACTTATACATATTCCTATGACTATGAGATTATGCAACTCTCGTTTACCGGAGGAACACTTTCTGTGCTACCAAACTGTAACATCCCAAATTTTCAATTTGGAATGTTATACATTAGGTCATCATGCATATCATGTTTTATTTTGCTTTTGGTTTTGATCCTAGAAAATCCTAAGCAACTCAAGGACCCACGGAGAGAGTTGGAGATTTCGTTATTTACATATTTGAGTTTTCTCAAATTATGTAAACATGATCATTTGATTTTATTTATTTTATCATCAATTATTTCTATTGAAAAAATATGAGAGAGGGAATAAAATGACTTTCCCAAAATATAGAAATATTGAGGATTTAATAAAAAAAATCAAATAAGTTTTATTTCGGAGTTTTTCGGTATTTTATTTGATTTTAGGAAAAATGCGCATTTTCCAAAGTTGTAGTTTGGGCACAGATAAATGTTCACTTTATCGGGCTTGATTTTAGAAACCCGGAAAAATTTATTTCATGATTTTTGGAGTCAGTTTAGTATTTCTTTTTATTTTTCTTCCGAGTGGAATTATTAAAAAAAACCGCGGAACCCACTATGGGCCGTACTCGGCCAGGACACCGCCGACCGAGGCTTTATAAGCCGCCACCCCGGGGCCCGAAAGCCCAGCCGCCCAGCCACCCTAACCCTAACCCCAGAGCCGCCGCCCCGCCGCCGCCGCCGCCAGCCGCCGCCGCCGCCGCCGCCGACTCGCCGGAGTTGCACGCCGCCCGAGGTTCGCCGCCGCCTCGACTTCCGTGCCGTTTAAAAAATAAATTCTGTTCGTCGTTTTTCTTTTTCGTCGGATTTTTCGCGGTTATTTTCTGATCGCGATTTCTGATCCGATTTTCGTTTTAGTATAACTTTTCGCTCGTTTATCGGAATCAGGCGATTCAAGCGCCTGGAGTTTCGTCTCGAAACCCTCTTTCCGAATAACCAACTTAAACAAGTTTTTGCTACTGTAAAATTTGCCTTAGATCCAGATTACTAGAATGAAGTTGTTTTCTTTCGCTGTTTGATTTCTTTTGCTTCGTTCGATTTGATTCTTTTTGCAAACCAGGGTTCTTAAGTTGAACTTTCTGGTTAGATCTTCTATTTGAGTTTTACCTGTGCATTAGATGAGTACTTATTTTATGCTTATTTTTTTGTCTGTGATAGAATACCCGGAGTGCGCCGCCTGTTAGTTTGAATCTCTAGGTTTTGCGGATCATCAGCAAGGCAAGTAACACTTTGATCATACATTTTTCTACAACCGAGTTTTATTGCATTAGATCAATCCTCACACATTGCATGATTAGGATCTAATTAAATTGTGGGATGGGAAGTAGATGAGGTAGTACCTATTACCTGTTTATTATCAAACCTTTGGGAGTTACTTCTACGTTTGCTTATTATGCCATGCTATGCTAGTAGACGTGGATTGGGTGAGTTATATCCATGACAGATGTGAGATTGTTAATTAATGGTTTATCTAAGGTGGCAACCTAAACACATATCTGGGTGGATTGAGGCACCTGGGTATTCCAGGATCTGCCTGTTTTTCTTTTGGACCGCCACCCAGGCTCAAAGGGATCATGAGATTATTCATACTAGAAACTTCCATGTGCAGCCACAAGCCATTATGGGCTCTGGCATAGTTGACTAAGTTGTGCGAACTCTTACAGTGGTAGACTAGCAGATGTAGGGGATGTAGGTGGTACGGTCTACCCGATCGTAAGGTGCTAGCGCTTCTGAAAGACTATGTCTCGGTCATCCGTTTCTCAAACACCATGTAGTGCGAGAAATCCAACGGAGGCGATCGAGTCTTGTGGGGAAAAGTGTGCAAACCTCTGCAGAGTGTCATAAACTAATCATGGTTAGCCGTGTCCCCGGTTATGGACATCTTGAGTATCTAGTACCTGGATTATCATGTGAATCTCAACATGTTACTCTAAAGTTAAATTTGTTGGGTTTTAAAGATGTTATTTAATTGGGATTGAGAATGCTGTCAACCATTCTCAATGTTTAACAACCACCATGATAGTAATTAAATTTATTCCTTTGAAGTAGGGAAAA